TCGGCTGCTCACACGATCTCCTCCATGTCACCATTATACGCACACTCGAATCCACGTTTCCTATTCTAGTCGCAGTATGTGGCCTTACGCATCACGCCCCTCATTGGTCTTCTCAGTGTGTGTTCGATCCTCTTGCGTTTTGCCTTGCATATTTCTTGAGTGAGGGTTCCTTCAAACAGTGGCAAATACTCAACAGGATGTTGGAGTTGAACGTCTTATTCTCTTCACTCCAATGTCCATTAGGTTTTTGATTGACAAGCTGCATACTATGCCTCCTTGTTGCTGATTCTCTTTGCTGGCCGTTGCATCTTCAGTATGGAACGAAGACAGCTGTTGATAAGAGTCTGTAGTAGCCTAGACGAGATGCTTTCAGCGATTTCTGCCAAGATTCGGACCCACTGAAATAGGCTGACTTACTTAACCCTGGTGTTGCAGCTAATTCTTACTGACCAGTACTCTGATCCAGTTCATAGCCAAATGGAATATTGGCCGTGATGGCAGGCCGAGAGCCTTGTCTTACTCACGTCTTCACCCCAAAGCCCTTTTGAGATGATGAACTGGTCAAACGTCCCGGTGTTGAAGACCATCTGATATAACACTTCAAGAACAGTCTACATGCGTGTGTATCGGATTCTGTGGTGACTGAGAGTTTCACTTTCCCTGTATTCAGCACACATTATTTTATGAATTAATATCAGTTCAATTTTGTCATATTACTGTCACTTGAATTATGTAGCTCGATAACACAGCGTGTATCAGGAATCTCAACTAACAGTGTGTTATCACTGCTGATATGGAAGCAACAGTCAGTAGATATCCCTTCATCACCCATGGAATATACAGTGTTTCACCATTAGTGCTTCAGGACTCAAGTGTAACATAGGGCTTCAGCAGCGCATCCACTTTTCGTCCTTTTCTCTGAAATCCTCATCAGTCACATTTTCGTTGCACACCACTTGTAATGCGACATTATCATACAGCTGTTGAATGAGATTGACATGTGCTTGGGACATTCCACTGAGGAAGGGATTCGACTGTCAATCTGTGTCTTGTTGATTTTCACGAAAACCTGTAATTTCAGGTGCACCTGAGATAATCCAAACTTATCTATGCAGTAAAATTATTATCACTATGGTTATAAATATTATTATTATTATAATTACAGGTCCACATAAAATGTCAGCAGCTGGTGAGTTCAATCGTGTTGTTTATTCAAATTCTACTCACCATTCCCGAAAGAATAGAGTTAAACTTGTGCAGTCACAAGAAACAGCTCGACAGTAACATCCATTTTTGATCCTGACGTCTCCAGATTTCAGTGCATGTTGAACACATATGCTGCTCGGAGGCAGAAATCTAGCACAACATTTGAGAAGTTGAGAAACAGACTAGAAACAGAATGTGTTGAAATCTGAAGAGAATAAGTAATCCAATTCATTTCCTCAATATACCTGGAAATCATCCTTAGCGAATACATACTTTTCTCGGGTTTGTTCTCATCTTCAAATAACGACTGCTGCAGATTTCGCCATCAAACTTCTTGGACAAAGCTACACCACACATAATTGAGAGGGGATAACTCCTTTTGAACCGTTCAACCTCGTGTTGTAGAGCATTTTAAGTGAGTACTCCATTGGAGCTGCGTGGCGTGAAGTCGTCAGGTGCTCAATAATTTATATGGCGATTGGCTGTAGTCGTCCGTACATTCTCCTCCCACATTTCCTCAATAGCACAATGCTCTCAGTAATACATCATCAAAGCACTATCAGTCTCCCTCAATGGATATATGACAATGTCGCATATCAAGTGACCCACTACGGAGAGCACAGTGACGACTTTGCCTAATATCATCGATGGTATTGCTAGATGTGTGGGCAGCGAGAATACAGGACTACGTTGAACTGACGAGGAGGCTGTATAAGATGTGGACCTCACGGGTGATTTATATTGGATGTCACATTAATTCAAAAGGCTCACAAGAGCAAACCAAGAAGTCGGCCGAAGTAGCAGAGAGGTCAGGTCTTCAAGTGTGGATAGAGTAGCCAGAGGTGATGTGGATCACCAACTAATAACAACGAGCACCAATCAATATCGAGAGAAGAATTTCGAAGGAAATCACTTCTTCCCATATTTCGGCTTCATTGTTTCAACTACAGGCGCACATCTGAGGGTGTCAAATCCAGCCAGGATCAGAAAGACAGGGCTGACGTTCGTCACTCTGAAATTGATGAAGCTATCTGACTTATTGATCATGAAGAGCCACATTCGAGCTTTCTGCAACATTGTCTCTTCGAAGTGGGTCGCAAACATGGTGGGCACTTGTCAGAAATCATTTCCAATTGGTGTCTACTGACTTCTGTCAACATCTGTCTTGTTGAGTATACGCCAACACGACTGAGGCGAACAAATTTCTAATGAGAGATGTGATTGTGAGACTCTTTATTAGAATCTAGACGAATTGAATCAGTCTTCACCATGCAAATATGCAGATTAACTTCTTAGTTGCTTGATCAAATGTCATCCTTCGTTTGTACAACTGTCATCAAACCACGAGTTTACTACGTTGGCTGATAGTCGCATGATCAGTAAACAATCGTCCATGAATACTATTTCTGTGTATTCATGAATCAACAGCTATTGGAATTCTGTCTGACCAGAAGGTAACTTTGATTGTGAATAGTTGGCTAAACAGAGATGAGGAATATCGTGAAAAAAGGAGTAGATCAACGTATAAATATTTTCATTCACTCTTGTCTTCCAGATCGCTTACGATGCATGCAAGATTCTGCAAAGGGTAAGTGTATTTAAAACATCACTTTATTGCAAACATAAAAACAGTTGCGTGAGTTATCAGATTCAAACTCTTACACGGCCAGGCACACTTTGATCACTCCCACAGACAGGAAAATGAAAGCCACAGATGTGTAATAAACCACAACCACATTTTCACTATCCCTCTTTCTATGTATGGGCGTTGAAATTGACTTTGAACATTCATGATTATAATGAGTTAAATTGCCGGTCAGAGGAAGTTAATCACAAGGTGCCCTGCCCATGTAGCAGCCAACCAAATTTCTGTTGACAAATACGCAGTAAGAACAGGATTTGGATAGATTGCAATGATTCCTTCAATAAAATATCATAGGAATGGCCGTCGAAAAGAAGCTGAAATTGGACCGACGATTTCAAAGTGATTCGAAGGGTGAAACAGACGAAATGGTGGAGGGCGTAGAATAGGTCTAATGGGAAATTGCGGCGTCAGATTTTGTGGATTGTAGAGAAAAGGGTGATAAGAAGATGTGTTGCTGAAGCCGTATGTTCTAGTCGGAAGGTCAATTGGCGAACACAGTGAGATGACTACTTAAGTACAACAAGTTCTTGACTTTCTAAAATTAGTCAATATCCACTATCATGAGAAATGCCTCGCATGTATGATTGCTTGGTAAACTGAATGAATAACATATATTCGCAGAATATTCTCAAATTCGCAATCTTTTCTTACTTTTCAGCACAAGAGATAAAGCGTTTGTTAAACTTATTGGGTCAGTTAAAGGTTAAACTTTATTTATACAAAATATTACATATCTTAAAATTATGTGGAAACTATGCACAAAACTGGTGGCATGCAACTGCTACTGATATTCTTAATTGATAATAGGGAGCACCTAGTTCCATGCACCTGCGATTTTGTTGGTTGCACACTAGATTCGATCACCAGGCTAGCTGGAAAATCTAAAGGAAGCCTCAGAGTCAGGTTTCGTGCAAATCACAAATCAGCTGAGCGTATCAGAAATCTTGAAGAAACTCATGTCTCTTCTGAGATTCCAAGCCACATCAACAAGTGAGGCAGCTAGACTGAACTATTCAATCTGGAACTTGATTGACTTCATGTAAAACTGTATGGGAATACTATGTTTGAGAACTATGTGGTAACTAGTGTCATGCGTGTAGTCGTTTGTTGAGAGCAGACGAAATTCTATCAGTCAAGCTTACAACACGCTTGACATGATAGCTGGCTCGTCAACACGGTGTACGCTGAACTGATGAGCTGCAGGAAGTAAGTCACGAGCACGAATAACTCATTGGTAACGTTTCTGACTGCAGCACCGGGTGACACTTGTTCAATTCCGAGTAGGGACATGAGATCCTTCAAGTTCGTGGATACGGCTTGCTGATGTCTGTCAGCATGCATGAATCTCAGCTCAGTTGATACTTCCTGCTTAACCGTCCAAGCGAGTGGCAATTCACATTTGTCAAATAATTAGAATGATGTGCGTAGCAAACAGCGTCACTTCTATTAATTCATTCAGTATTACTATTACCGTTTTCTTTGCGGAAGCGCTACATTTTCGCAGTCTAATGTAAAATGAAGTTTGGGGTTGCATGTACGAAATGCTTTCGAGTAGAGCATGAAATTATGATAGCATATGTAAGCCAAAAATTACTTACGCAATAAATAAAGAATAATAATAAAACAAAACATAAATGTGAGATTGATAACGCAAAAAATCATTGTTTGCGAAGTGGAATATAATATAACCAACAAGAGTTTTGCCCATATCCAACACCTATTTCTCTCTATATATACAGGTCACAAGGACAACTCCAGTGATTCCACACCTGGTAAGTCTCGACTGGTGAAGACCAGTTCGCCATTAGGCGAAGTGACCTGTTCATTCTGATTGTTGTAAATCAATGACATACACGCCTGTAAGCTGAACGATTGAAGATGCGTAGTGAGAGTTGTGTTCATATGACATCACCTATTTCTCTATGTATTACTTACAGGTCACAATGACAACTCCAGTGATTCCACACCTGGTAAGTCTCGACTGGTGAAGACCAGTTCGCCATTAGGCGAAGTGAGCTGTTCATTCTGATTGTTGTAAATCAATGACATACACGTATGAGTGGGATGATTGAAGATGCGTAGTGAGAGTTGTGTTCATATGACATCACCTATTTCTCTATGTATTATTACAGGTCACAATGACAACTCCAGTGATTCCACACCTGGTAAGTCTCGACTGGTGAAGACCAGTTCGCCATTAGGCGAAGTGAGCTGTTCATTCTGATTGTTGTAAATCAATCAAATTCATATATAAACGGTGCGAATGAATGTACGTTGTCACCAGAAATTCAAACTCTCCTTTCGTACGAAATGAAACATTTTGCATTTAAAATTTTTCCTAATTTTAATCACATGTCCAGTCCATCGATGCTCACTTGTCGACTGACTATAATGGCATGCTTGGCAAACAGCGTCAATTATCTTAATTCATTCAGTATTAATTTTATCATACCGAATAATGGAAACTGTCAACCTTATCACTAATATGGCATTTCAGTGTCAATATCAAACAGCGAAATGGAAGACTTACGAGGTGAATACCGTTTTGTGTGTAATCATTTATTTCTATACTTCATTGCCAAATAACATGAAATGCTGATAATTGTGGTGGCATTTGTCGACAGAAATCTTGTCGAGAAAATCATGTTTTGCGTGGATTCAAGTAACGCATTTTTACCTCTCATGTATGAAAACTTCAAAATGATGAGCAATCACTGGAATCTACTGCATTTATAGCAAGCGAAATTCCATTAAAGTGACTGTATGTGCATAGCGTTCAACAGACAATCTGTTTCCGGAAACATTATGAATTAATCAAATATTGAATACACGATAGACACAAAGAGATGCATTAAACACGAATCAAGTAGTTTGTGTGAGGTCAGGCATACTTTCTGTCTGGTCGTCTGAAGTGACCACGTAGCTGCCATGATTTCTAGTAGCCGAAACAGGCTCATACGCCATTCAATCCCTTAGGTCTCTGGAGCTAAGGAAGTCACTGGTTTGGAATAACGGTTTTCCAACTCCTCCCTCCCTACGTAGATCAACAAGTACACCAGTCCGATTATTAGCGCTGAACTTTCGGTTTCACAATCTCACTTGTTCTTGTGATATACCTTGGTGCGTGAAATCAGTGAATAAATTTCACCTGGTTGCAGGCTATGAAGGTGCATGGCCATATTAAAGCATTTCGAGATAAAGACAGAAGCGCACACACCGTCGTACTCACAAGGTCATCTATAGAGGCCGTCGAGAATATCTGAACAAAGGATGTGAAGGTGAACTGTGGTTGTGATGCCTGCTGACCGTGATTATGTCGTTATTCTGGCGTGTACTACTGACAAGACTTACCAGTAGGATATGAACACAGATTAATAGGAAGCGAAGACACAATTTCAGGTCAGTGGCTTCAGAGGTAGAAGTGTTTATTCCTCAAGTCTGGATTAAGTTAACCTTCGGATCAGGAAGTAAACTTAGTGGGCAGCCTTTCTGCCCAATGCCTTAGCCTTTGGAAAATCTTCAACCAATCAGAATAGCTTATTGTCTGCTGGTCTAGCCCACCTCATATGTGGCAAAAATGTAAAATTATGGTGAGCTTTTCCGTTACTAAAACGCTAGTCTTTTCTCGTCACGTTATCCATGTTAGTTTAGATCACTACTGAATGATATCTATATTGTTGTGAATGAAAGTATCACCACTAGTTCTAAATACCTGAAATCACCACCATAAGTGACATTGGGCATGAATATTTAATCATGTTATATACAAAGTGATCATTTTCGCACACAACATTTTTATTAAGGATTGGAACCTTTGAAAATTAGTTTGATTAAATTCCTCAACTGAATATAATCTCCGTCTTTCTCTCTCTCTCTCACTCAAATTTCAACAGGACCGTTGGCCATTGTAGCACCAATGAGCGAAGGTAATTCTCTTATGATAATCAGATTTACTTACTGTCACATCACTTTGACGCCACCTTCTGAGTGGTACGCACGTGTTTCACGGATACAGTGGTCACCGACTGCACAAGTTATCTGTGTTAGTTTTCACTCTACTCACTCCTTAACACCATTGCCCAACCTGTGGTAAGTCCGCTAGTTACGTTTGGTTGAGCGTGAGGTTAGCATCAAAATTAGTGCTAGTGAAAATTTATAGATCCTTGTTCCTCGTTGTTTCTAGCTACAGGATCTTCAGTAGAAAGCGAAGACTGCTGCTGATAAAACTCTGACGCAGCCTGTCGAAAATGCTATACGTGACGCAATGGCCAAGTTTCCGACACACATAGAAGACCTGACTGACTCCACATTTGTGTTGAAAATCCGAAACGTGTTCCTTGTGCTGAGTAAGAGCAGAAGATTTCACATTGGTGAAGTTATCTCTTACCTTTTCGGTTCTGTCTGGTGTTGGAATATTCTCACATTCCACCTGTGTCGGAAACCCTGCTTCCTACATAAGTGAAGAAGGTAACCTGTCTTAAGACTCTCTCGTTGATGGTGATGGTAGTTGTTGCTATTATCCTGTTATCTCCATCACCTTAAGCATTCAAAAGCATTGTAGCCATCTGACATTTGACAGGTTTGAATATTCTGCATTCTGAGTAAGAGCTTCATTCCGAAGTCCTCAGTGAATGCAGCTTTCTGTCTTGATATTAGATCGTATGTCATATCATCCGTGTAGTCACTGAGTTGTAGGACGTCTCTGAGAACACTTCAGTATAAGCAATTCAGGTTCCAGTCTAAATAGTTGGCATATTTCCATCATGAATTTTTACACACGCCTTGCTGACAATCACTGAACTGATTGTTTCGCATGTCAGGCAGGTGTGACGGATATATGCATGAAATAAAACGCTTCCGTGTCCACCTATCCGTTATATTATCCAATATCCAAAGGTTCGCTTCAATGTGGGATTTGTCTCATCCAGTGAATTCTCAATATGCCAACGTCGATGACTTGAGTTCGATTTAGATGGTTGAACACAGTCAGTGAGCGAGTCATTCATTGCACACGTTCAAGTAACATGTCTTCCGCCTCAAAAAGACCGCGTGTTGCAACTGCATTCATCTCAAGGTGATTTACACAACATAAACATTTCACATGGAACCCGATTACATTTTACCATAGTTCTCCACTCCTAAAACAAGTTTGAAAGACGCAACATAATCACAACTAAAGACAACTGCATGAACAAAAATCCCTTTCCACTCATTTCCACCTGGTTGTAAAATACACTAACGTTGATCACTGAACAGTATAAAATACCTAAAATTACACATGTACATGCCATACAGGATACTGTATTCATGTGGTTTGAAAGATCCACAGAAAAGATGTTATATGATTTCAGATAAAACATGAGATTGATTTGATGTAGGGATGTCTATATTAGCTCCTGATTTAGCTTCTCTTAGACGGAATGCAGTATGATATCATCAGAAGTCAACAGCATTCCACACATCTCCATCTCCGCCTTCACACCTGCTGGAGAGTGATATCTTGTCTAGTTCACTGTCATCACTTGTCTAGTTGCCTGATATTGTTTGTCCTTTTCGGATGGCTATGTGATATTCCTTGTTGATTGAAGGGTGAGATGTTGATGGAAGTCTGCAGTAGCCAGTTGGAAATGCTTTGGGTGGTGTTAGCGATAAGTTTCATGAAGCTATGGAAGCATGCTACCGAGATGAATGGACGTTGTCACCTCTTTGTTGATAAAATAGTGCATGAACATCACTTATGAGATCTTCGATCAAGACATTTTCCACCTTGTTGCTTGAGTTAAGAGAAATCAATTCATGCCACGAATAATTCTAGAAATGCAGTTACATGGCCGAAAGTTGAATGACACATTGCTCTCACACTCGCCACATTTAGAGAGTGATATTATTATAATTGTTCCCTTTGGTTCCTAGTGGAACATATGGCTTCAACTGCACGCCTCCACTTGTTTCTGTCTTCTGCTGTATTTTTCACTTGCATCCATGTTAGTCCATACTGTTTCATCTCCTCCTCACACAATCTCCTCCATGTCACCCTTGGACGTCCCACTCGCTGCTTACCTTTCGGGTTCCACTCGAGGGCCTGACGCGCGATGTCACCCAACGGCCTCCTCAGCGAGTGTCCAATCCATCTCCACTTTCTTCTGCATATTCGTTGAGCGATTGGTTCTTGTTTTGTTTCTTCCCATAGTTTCTTGTTGGTTCTTGTTCTTTCCGGCCATCTGATCTTCAGTAGAATAGAACGAAGACAGTTGTTGTTGATAAAGGTCTGCAACAGGCTGTTGGGAATATTCTTTGTGACCCGCCAAGTTTCTGATCCATCCGTATAGAAGAACTGACTGACTTGACGTTTGTATTGGAAATCTGAATTTTGTTGTTGATGCTGAGTGACGAAGATTTCCAGATTGGTTTCAGGTTGATGAATGTGTTTCTCGCCTTCCCGATTCTCGATTTGACATCCTCGTTTGTTCCTCCTGTAGTTGAGACAATCCTCCCTAGATAAGTGAATGAAGTAACCTCTTTCAAATCCCTTCCGTTGATGGTGATTGGCGCTGGATGTTGCTGCTGCTGCTGTTGTTGTTGTTGATTGGTTATTTTCATAACCTCCTTCTTGTCTATGTTCACCTGGAGTCCTGTCTTCACCGGTTGCTTCTTCGACCAGTTTGTCGGTTTTTGCTTGTAAGTCTTCGATTTTGTGTGACATCAAACATAAATCATCCGCAAAGTCCAGGTCTTCTCGATTCTTCACGTCGGTCCAGGATGTCCCTGTCTTCTCGTTTCCCACCGTCTGACGCATAATCCAGTCCGCCACAATTAGGAATATCATTGGTGATAATAAGCACCCTTGTCTGACTCCTGTGTTTACTCCAAAAGCCTCGCTGAGTTTTCCGTTGTGGATCACTTGACATGTGCCGTTGTCGTACAGCTGTTGAATAAGTTTGATGAATATTTGGGGTACACCGTAGTACTTGAGCAGAGAATACTAGTGACCTAGTAATCTAGACGAGTTTTTTAGAGAGTGATGCGTAAATGTAATCCTCATGTCCCTCAACTGCCAGCTCTTTTGTCTCTCTTTTGTAGAAAATCGACGCAGAAGAAGTAAGCTCATACATTTTTACAGACGTATTCATAAACTCCAATCACCGCGTGTCATAGTAATAAATGCTTCAAATAACAAAGTTTTATAACGGAAGTTATCCATATTCTGGTGAAGAAAGGCATGAGTGATTTTGAGTTCTTGAAAGTTATGAAACCACTGTAATCCTAGATCGCAGATGTATCTGTTCGAGCGTCGGAGTAAACTGACTGATTGTTTGGTTATCACCTCAGTCATAAAATGTTTTTGTGCTTGTTTATATTACATACACTAAACAGTCGTGGTATCCTGCATCATATAACCTGTATTCAGTGTATGCTCAGTAGAAACGAAACATAACATGGTTACCGAGTGTTCACTCTAATACATGAAAGCTTTTAGACCGGAAATGCATGACTTAACTCATATACTACTGATTTAGTGATGTGAGTAGTTGGATAACATTCAGATCAACCAGTTGTAGCTGATAGTGCGAATTCGTTTGCATTGAACTCAAATGACCTGAACTGAACTGAGGAAAATGGCACCATATTTAGCTCCCAGGATGGTCGACTGGAATGCTGGAAAGAACACTTTGAAGAACAACTCAATCGGCCTACAGCCACGCTCAACCTGCCGAACATCCAACACCTCCCTGAATGGGATATAGACACTGGTCCTGCATCAGTAACTGAGGTTACTATGTCTGTCACTAGTCTGAAACAAGGAAAAGCAGCAGGACCTGATGGAGTGGCTTCAGAGGTATTTAAGTACGGTGGAGACAGCTCGCTGAGAAAATGTATCGCACTGATCAAGGCACTCTACTTGAACTCATGTAGCCAGGTCAAAACTAACGGTATGTTGTCATCTGAAGTGGTGACAACTGGTGGTGTCCGTCAGGGATACCCACTATCCCTGCTTCTATTCAATTCCATCATAGATATCCTAATGGACTAACCACTAAATCACTTCAGAGACTCAAGTATTGACTTGCTACCGGGAAATAATCTCGTGAACTTAGAATATGCAGACGACAAAGTCTTTCTGGGCGAGGACGCTGAGAAAATGCAGAGTCCTCTGAACACCTTGAGCTGCAATCTGCGAATGTTTGGCATGCAATTCGCTCGCACCAAATGTAAGATGATGTTACAGGACAGGACTACACTGATTCCTAGCTTAGAAATAGGGAGTGAAGTGTTCGAGCATGTTGAACGCTTCAATTATTTGGGTAGTTCAATCAATCCCGACGAGTTCATATCTGACGAAATCTCAATACGGATACAGAGGGATAGTTTCGCATATGCCAGACTACGCTTGCTTTCTTTATTGCCATTGATGTTGTCAAACATATCTAAATATGTACATTTAAGGAAGGCAACTCCACCTGGGACTGAGTCAATTTCTCACCTGACTTCATTTCGTGATACTCGGATAACCGACAGACTGAGGTGTTTTCCATTCGTCATTAGGAATATTACTGCCTTGGATTCCAGGAGGAATATGTGGTTTCAACAGCACATTTCCATTTCGTCATCTCCCAATGGTGATCCTCAGCTGACTGACTCGACGAATACTCATAAACTCTTATAGCCTCCTCAAACGATCTCCTCCATGTCACCATTATACGCACACTCGAATCCACGTTTCCTATTCAAGTTCCACTATGTGGCCTGGCGCATCACGCCCCTCATTGGTCTTCTCAGTGTGTGTTCGATCCTCTTGCGTTTTGCCTTGCATATTTCTTGAGTGAGGGTTCCTTCAAACAGTGGCAAATACTCAACAGGATGTTGGAGTTGAACGTCTTATTCTCTTCACTCCAATGTCCATTAGGTTTTTGATTGACAAGCTGCATACTATGCCTCCTTGTTGCTGATTCTCTTTGCTGGCCGTTGCATCTTCAGTATGGAACGAAGACAGCTGTTGATAAGAGTCTGTAGTAGCCTAGACGAGATGCTTTCAGCGATTTCTGCCAAGATTCGGACCCACTGAAACGAGCTGACTTACTTAACCCTGATGTTGAAGCTAATTCTTACTGACCAGTACTCTGATCCAATTCATAACCAAATGGAATATCGCCGGTGATGGCAGGCAGAGAGCCTTGTCTTACTCACGTCTTCACCTCAAAGGCCTCTTGAAATGATGAACTGGTCAATAGTCTCGATGTTGTAGATCATCTGATATAACACTTCAAGAGCAGTCTACATGTGTGTGTTTCGGATTCTGTGGTGACTGAGAGTTTCACTTTCCCTGTATTCAGCACACATTATTTTATGAATTAATATCAGTTCAATTTTGTCATATTACTGTCACTTGGATTATGTAGCTCGATGGCACAGCGTGTATCGGGAATCTCAACTAACAGTCTGTTATCACTGCTGATATGGAAACAACAGTCAGTAGAACTTCTTTCATCACCCATGGAATATACAGTGTTTCACAATTAGTGCTTCAGGACTCAAGTGTAACATAGGGCTTCAGCAGCTCATCTCCTTTCACCCTCTTCTCTGACATCCTCATGAAAGACTGTGTCGTTGCGCACCACTTGTAATGCAACTTCCTCATACAGCTGTTGAATGAGATTGACATGTGCTTGGGACATTCCACTGAGGAAGGGATTCGACTGTCAATCTGTGTCTTGTTGTTTTTCACGAAAACCTGTAATTTCAGGTGCACCTGAGATAATCCAATCTTATCTTTGCAGTAAAATTATTATCATTACTGTTATATATAATTATTGTTATTAATACAAGCCGACACAGAATTTCAGCAGATGGGTACTTCAGTTGTATTGTTTATTCAATTTCTACTCGCCATTTCCGAACGAATAGGCTTAACTGGAGCTGGCACGAAAGACTGCTCGACTTTGACATCTACTTGTGATGCTTACTTCTCCAAATATCAGGGCTTGTTGAACACATTTACTGCTCAGGTGCATAAATATTCCACATTACTTGTGTGTATGAAAAACATATAAGAAACCGAATGTGTTTAAATCTAATGAGAATTATTAATCGAATCCTTAATAACTATCTCGTCGGGTATTTTATTTTCTTCACATAACGACAGCTGCAGATTTTACTATCCACCTTGTTCAACCTGACTTCCTCAATCCCAGCACATTTCCATCAATATAGTGTACGCTTTACATATACGCATGACCTGGTTCTTTCAGCGTATTTTAGACTGACAGAAACTTTGACCAGATAATATTCCTCTAGTGATTCTTACATCATCTGTCCTGGCTTGCAAAGGTATGCATATACCAGAGCTCATCGACACCATGTTGTCTGCTTATAAAACCCTGAGTTGAGAGTATGCAATACTCTTTTCCGTCATACAAGACTCCACCAGAGATGGATGGCATTCTCATGAATTCATCGACGGTTGAAAAAGAGCATCACTATTTACGCTCAGTCGTCTTGGTCAATTTCAGCCACACAAGATGGAATACACACTGAGTCTATTCTTCAACTGTGAATGGTCTATTAACCACATAATTGAAAATTTTGCATCCAAAGCTCATCCATGCATTCGTAGGACAGCATTCTGACAAGATGTGTGAATACAAGGGCCAGCTTCAGAGTAATTTTACAATCGATTCTGAAATCGATAAACGAAAAGACGGCGTGAACATAGAAAATGACGACCAGTCGACAATGAAGGTGTCACAGTTCTCGGCCGTCTGGTCACAATGACAGTCTTTTCATACAATCTTCGGCTCACTTCTGTTCGAAGATTCAATTTTTGGGGGGTCTCACAATACCTCAGGAAGCTCACAACCAAACACAATGGAGATGTGACGTTCGGACTGAAGTCTCTATCAGTTTTAATGAAACCAGATTTTATCTGCTTCATGTGGAGGAGAGTAGGCATATCAATAAGAATTGGACAGAAAGTCGCACCAGTGTGCTGCTCTAAGTATGCAGTAAACCACTCAATTCGTCACTAATTCAGTAGAACGCAGATACGTATTCTCTTCATGTCGGTCACCATTGTAGTAACTTATTCACATGAACTTGTGGTGGTACACATATGGAAAGCAGTGAGCTAAAGGTGTCTACTATATTTATTAACCTGTCTTTGCACGGAACGTCAGTAGTTGTGTGCTAATATTTGACACCTCATTAACACTGGACAAACAGTTGAGATCAATCGGTATTCTGGATGATTGATTTACTTACCTCGCTCTAACCGAATAATAAAATCCACTTCAGTTCCCTACTGAGTTATAATCTTCAATGAAATTTTGATAATTCTTTGCTGATCTGAGATCATAATAAGGCTTTCACGTTGCTGAGTCGTCTGCTCACCTGTAGATTTACTTTTATGGTCCATACACATTGATTATGCCTCTCCATATCTTATCAAGTCTCAAACACTCCAATATATTGTTTTTAAAAAAGCCTTGGTTTCTAAAGACCAGAATTATCCTAAGAGTCATGAAAGAAATGAAACGCATTTCAGAGAAGAACACCTCCTTTACTGACATGGTCATTTCCAACGGCTGATACAATAATCTTTACATCTACTTAACCGGATAACATTGCATGCGTCACTGATATCAACGTATGACATAGTAGATACCACTACTTGAAAGGTGTTTTTCAAGACAAAAGGGTGCAATTATCATTAATCAACAAGAAATGAAAGCTAAGGTTTGAAGTTTAAGAGAGTGAAACTTGGATTTAGACGAGGAGCGAGATGCCTGAATGTTCACTCAACAAAAGTGAGCACTTCATTGGAGCTGCGTTTGCGTGAAGTCGTCAGATGCTCGAGAATTGAGATAGCAATTTGCTGTAGTCGTCCGTGCATTCTCCTCACGCTTATGTCCTAAATAACACAATACTCACATTATCATATCATCATATCACTATCAGTCTCCCTCAATGCATATATGACAATGTCACATGTCAAGTGACCTACTGCGGAATGCACAGTGACGACTTCGCCTAATATCATCGATGATATTGCTAAATGTGTGGGCAGCGAGAAAACAGGAATACGTTGAACCGATGATGAGACTGTATAAGATGTGGACCTCACGGATGATTTATATTGGATGTCACATAAATTCAAAAGGCTTACAAGAGCAAACCGAGGAGTAGGCCGAAGTAGCAGAGAGGTCAGGTCTTCAAGTGGAGATAGAGTAGCCAGAGGTGATGTAGATCACCAACTTATAACAACGAGCACCAATCAATATCGAGAGAAGAATTTCCTAGCGAGCCACTTCTTCCCATATTTCGGCTTCGTTGTTTCAACTACAGGCGCACATGTGGGGGTGTCAAATCCAGCCAGGATCAGAAAGGCAGGGCTAACGTTCGTCACTGATCAACTGAATCAGCCATCTGACGCATTGATAATGAAGAGCAAGATTCCAGCTTTCTGTAACATTGTCTCTTCCAAGTGGGTCGCAAACATGGTGAGCACTTGTCAGAAATCATTTTCAACTGGTGTCTACTGTATGCCATCACCATGTGCCCTAACTGCATGCTGGATATGGAAAGTACAGTAAAAATATTAAGCAGGGCACTCTGGAAATGAAACAACCAGGAACATATGGCTTGAAACATATTTCAAAGAAATTGAAGATGGATCAGGGGCACATTGAAGTCATCTCTCGAGTGAAACTACAATGTAGAACGACTAGACGAGTGTGTGAGAAGGAGATGAGAACCTGTGAGCAATTGTTGGGCGAACTGTAGTGGACTTCAGAGAACGGATTGAGATGAGACGTGGTGATGAATCTCCATGTTCCACTTGGAATCCGAAGGAATAATAATAGTTACAACACGTTTTGTGTATGCCTAAATTCGGTTCTACAGCCTTGAAATACGACTTCCTTCCTCTGATTTCTATTTCGATCTACCTAAAACCCTTTGTTTTCTGAATGCAATCTGTTGGGTACTGAGACCGCTTGTGTCACTACTGTGTGTGTTGAGTATACACCAACGCATTTGATTCGAACGAATTTCTAATGAGTGATGTGATTGTAAGGCTATTCATTGAAATCTAGACAAAGTCTGCGAAATGAGTCACTCGAAACCAGCCAAATATGCGTGTTCACTTTTTGTTTTTGTTGTTCAACTGTCATCTAATCACGAGTTTACTACGTTGGTTGATAGTCGCATGATCAGTAAACAATCGTCCATGAATACTATTTCTGTGTATTCATGAATCAACAGTCATTGGAATTCTGTCTGACCAGAAGGTAACTTTGATTGTGAGTAGTTGGCTAAACAGAGATGAGGACAATCGTGAAAATAGGAGTAGATCAACGTATAAATATTTTCATTCACTCTTGTCTTCCAGATCGTATACAATCCATGCGAGAGACTGCAAGGGGTAAGTGTATTCAAAACATCGCTTTATTGCAAACATAAAAACAGTTGCGTGAGTTTTCAGACTCAGACTCTCACACGGCCAAGCACACTTCGATCAGTCTCACAGACAGGAAAATGAAAGCCACAGATGTGTAATAAACCACTTACCACAATTTCACTATTCCTCTTTTTATGCATACGCATTGAAATTGACTTTGAACGTGTATGAGTATAGTGAGTTAAATTGGCAGTCAGGGAGAGTTAATATCATGGTGCTCTGGCTGTGTAACAGCCAACAAAATTTCAGTTGACAAATATGCAGTAAGAACAGGATTTTGATGGTTTCCAATGAATCCTTCACTGAAATATGAAACCCTTGGTCGTCGAATGGAAGCTGAATTGGGAGAGTCAATATCTGCATGGGTCGGAGTGTGATACACAAGAAATCGTGTGATAAAGACATGAGGTCCTGTTTTTGTCTTTCTTGCTCTTATGGAAGACTTATGTGTTTTGGTACAGAGTTAAGTCTCTCTTATATCCAACTCGCATCTTCATGATCTTCACATATCATAATGTCATCATCTACGTATCTGCTATAGAAGGACAATTTATAAATAAATTCAAGCTGCAAATTCTCAATATAAACCATGTTAATGTTCACTAACAATGGTCCCGTTGGCTCCTCATAGCAACACCATCCAATTTTCGAAAATGTTCATCTTCACACGTGAAATAGACGTTGTCTGCACATAGTTGTAATAAATGCTTCAAATACGTGAAGGGAAAAGGGAATGAAAAACAACTAAAAGTTATATGGTCACAAGGAATATCAACAGTCTTAATCAATGGCACATTAGTAAACAAAGAATTCACATCAAATGAATACATTCTTCCATCTTTTATGTTCATATATGCGAGACAGTTTAGAAAGTCAGATCCTAGAGCTACAAAAATGAATGAACTTGATTGGATTAATTGCCCTTAATTTTTTCACATACGTCAACTTGACTGGTCAATTTGTGATCAGATTGTTCGAAATGTGTAGCGCAAATACGTCATATTTTTCAGGTAATCTCCGTCTAAGACTATCCAAATCTATATGAGGGACTAATTGTTCTAAACTGAATTTTTTTCAAATTCACGCTCTTCTTTTATATTTCAGCAAACAGGGTACATGGTTTAATAAATTTAATAAGTAAGTTTAAGAATTACCTGAATATTTACAACATATTATAAACATTTTAAATAATAAGGGAAATATTAAGTACACTGACGGCAAAAAATTACTCGTAATATGCGAAGAGGAGATGAAAGCATGTGGGCAGACCTGGAGCCAGGTGAAAACTCTAGCAGAGAACCGAACGCAATGGAGACGCATGGCTGAAGCCCTATGTTCCTCTAGGAACTAAAGGAAATAATAATAATATAATAATAATATGCTGGTCCCATATTTAACAGCATCTAGTTCCATGCGCCTGCACTTTTGTTGGTTGCATACTAGATTCTATCAATTCACCTTGCAATGTGGTCACCAGGCTATCTGGACAGCCATCTTGATCAAATCTGAAATGTTTTTAGTGGTTGGTTATAGACAATCAAAAGGAAGCCTCAGACTCAGGTTTCGTGCAAATCACAAATCAGCTAAGCGCATCAGAAATCTTGAAGAAACTCATGTCTCTTCTGAGATTCCAAGCCACATCAACCAGTGAGGCAGCTAGACTGAACTATTCAATCTGGAACTTGATTGACTTCATGTAAAACTATATTGAATACTATGTTTGAGAACTATGTGGTAACTAGTGTCATGCGTGTAGTCGTTTGTTGAGAGCAGACTAAATTCTATCAGTCAAGCTTACAACACGCTTGACATGATAGCTGGCTCGTCAACACGGTGTACGCTGAACTGGTGAGCTACAGGAAGTAAGTCACGAGCACGAATAACTCATTGGTAACGTTTCTGACTGCAGCACCGGGTGACACGTGTTCAATTCCGATTAGGGATATGAGATCCTTCAAGTTCTTGGATTCGCCTTGCTTATGTCTGTCAGCATGCATGAATTTCAGCTCAGTTAATACTTCCTGCTTAACCGTCCAAGCGAGTGGTAATTCACATTTGTCAACTAAGTAGAATGACATGCGTAGCAAACAGCGTCAATTCACTTATTTCATTCAATTTTTATTTTATCTTATCGAGTAATGGAAACTGTCAAACTTATCACTAATATTGCATTTCAGTGTCAGTATCAAACAGAGAAATGGAAGACTTACCAGGTGAATACCGTTCTGTGTGTAATCGTTGATTTCTATACACCATTGCCAAATAAGATATTTTTTTATTCCTTCACGTTCCCAGTGGAACATATAGGTTCAAGCTAGAGGTTTGAAGTTTCTGTAGCAGTGTTTATTTCTACAGGATGGGGTTTCTAGCCTCATGCCCAAACTTCCCTCTTTACCAGTTCGATTACTGGGTTAGCGAGGTAAAGGAGTGCGTAGGTCGGCGAGCATCCTAACCGTTGTGCAACCGACGCCAAATAACAAAAAATGCTGATTATTGTGGTGGCATATGTCGACAGAAATCTTGTCGAGAAAATCATGTTTTGCGTGGATTCAAATAACGCATTTTTGCCTATCTACTGCATTTATAGGAAGCGAAATTCCATTCAAGTGACAGTATGTGCATAGTGTTCAACAGACAATCTGTTTCCAGAAACATTATGATTAAATCAAATATTGAGTACACGATAGACACAAAGAGATGCATTAAACACGAATCAACTAGTTTGTGTGAGGTCTGGGAAACTTCTTGTTTGATCGTCTGAAGTGACCACGCAGCTGCCATGACTTTCATTGGCTTATTGTCTGCTGGTCTAGTCCACCTAATATGTGGCGAAAATGTAGAATTAGGATGTTTTTTTCTCTTACTAAGTGGCTTGTCTTCTCTCGTCACGTTATCCATGTTTGTTTAATAGTATTTTAGCTGAAAAGCGCAGATCACTATTGAATGATACATACATTGTAGTGAATGAAAGTATCGCCACTAGTTCTAAATACCTGAAATCACCACTAAAAGCGACATTGGGCATGAATATTTTATCATGTTATATACAAATTTATCATTTTCGCACACAACATTCCATTGAGGATTGGAACCTTTGAAAATTAGTTTGATTAAATTCCTCAACTGAATATAATCTCCGTCTTTCTCTCTCTCTCTCACTCAAATTTCAACAGGACCGTTGGCCATTGTAGCACCAATGAGCGAAGGTAATTTCCTTATGATAATCAGATTTACTCACTGTCATTTCACTTTGACGCCACCTTCTGAGTGGTACGCATGTGTTTCACGGATACAGTGCTCACCGACTGCCCAAGTTATCTGTGTTAATTTTCATCCGACTCACTCCTTAACACCATCGACCAACCAGTAGTAAGTCCGCTGAATACGCGTGGTTGAGCATGGGTCTAGCATCAAAACTATTTCTAGTGAAAATTAAGACCTCAGGCTTGAACCCATAAGGTCGAATCTGGACGGAAGAGGAATGGAAGCGTTTATACAATGAATAGGAGCTGCACAGTTGCCTGCCACAGACAACTTTATCTTTCTACAAAACTGCAGATTATTGACAGTATTTGCTGAAAGTTTTCAGTTATATTTGTTGCGCGATAGGTTCTTGGTTGACTGGTTTCTACAGTTCCTTGTTGCTCGTCGTTTATAGCTACAGGATCTTCAGTAGAATGCGAAGACTGCTGCTGATAAAAGTCCGCAGTTCCTTCTAAATCCTCTACATGATGAGCCAATCTCTGAGCGATACAGAATTTTGTCATCTATGTCAGAAGCAGTAGATTTCTACATCGATTTCATATTAATGTATGACAATCTCACCTTTTCGACCATACCTTTAATATCTTTATTCCTGCTAATTGTAACTGGAACAATGATATCTAAGCAAGTGAAGGATGTGGCATATTTCAATTTGTTCCCGTTCTTAGTGACTGACTTTTGTTGTTGTTGTTGGTAGTCAGGTATCTTGGTCACCTCCATATTCTCTATGTTCGCTTGTTCACTTCTTGCCTCACCCGTCTGTTGGTTTACTAGTTGATGTGATATCAGATTATAAGTGGTTGCTTCCTTTCTGCATTGACATTTGTGGAGTGAGCAGCACCAATTGAAATTACTCTAGCCTATCAAATCTTCGCTCATTATTTCTCTTTAACCTCTTATTTGTAGAAGAAATGATGCATAGGCGTGATTTGGCTAGAGGTAAGCCAGACATATTTTTCGGTCAGTTTCAAATAATCTAAGCACTGAAGGATGCGGATATATGGATGAGATATGCATTACATCGTGGAACATGAGAAATATCGACATCTAACATGAGGTGTTTCTTTGTGTTCGAAGTGGAAAATGACCTTCAATAGAACGTCTTCAATTTGTTCCATTTTCTGTTGTCGTCTTAAGCTAGGCGCACGATTGTCTACAATCTTTCATCGCCTCCCAATGCAATCTCGTTTATGTCAACATTCGCACCACGCTCAACTCGTGCATTCTCATCAGAGTTTCACTGAAGCAGTCACCTAACACGAGGTGTCATTCAGTTGTCGCCTTACTGGCATGTGCTCGATCCATTTCCATTTAATCTCACATATCTGTCAAGCGATACGTAAATGGTTTGCTTGTTTCCATAGTTTCCTGTTGCGAATTGTTTCTGAGTGGCCATTATCATAATAGGGCCAGCGAAGACTAGTGCCGATGAAATTTTGACGCAGGCTGTTGTAAATGCTTTAAGTGACGCAGTGGTCAAGTTTCGAACACACATAAAAGAACTGACTGACTCCACAATTGCGTTGAAAATCCGAAACTTGTTCCTTATGATAAGTGAGAGCACAAGACTTTCAAATAGATTTCATATTGATGAACGCCTCTCCCAACTTTTCGACTCTGGCCAGTGCTGACATTTTCATCCCTTCCATCTGTGCTTGAAACGATGCTTCCATGATAAGTGCAAGAATCAAATCACTTTCGTTGATGGTGATGGTTGTTTTCGCCTTCTCTATGTTCACCTGGAATCCTGTTTACGCTACTTGCCTCTCCAGCCAGTCTGTTGGTTTTCACCTGCAAGCCTTTGAGTTTGCGTGACACCACACATAAGGAATCCACGCGTGAAATCCATATCTTCTTCAGTCTTCTTATCGGTTCCACGTAGTCCTGTCTTTTCACTCCCTGCGTACACATAGTCCAGTCCAGCTTGAACAAAATATCGAATCCTGTAGGCAGTTCATTGCCCAAAATAACGAAATCTGGATGGATGCGTGATAAAATATCCCACTATCAACACATCTCGGTTCTAATTTCATTTATTCAATTATATGCTACTTGTGTCAATCAATCGGTCAATAGTATACAGCTTCATACATTGTTACTGGCTTTTTTGAGTACTATTGAACATTGTGATTGGAATAAACTGGTTTCTTAAAATATCACGCGAAATTTCTTCCCTCAAACAGTGAAAATTGCAAACTGTGAATTTAAATTATTTTTTGATCTCCCTATGTGTAGAAGACGCGTTTCTGTCATCCACACCAGAGATATACTCTCATATCACTAAATCCCCTTAGTTTATAGCGAATAGCTAAGCAGTTTCAATGTTGAGTTCGATAACACACATTGTAGGTTTCATATCTCTGCTTATTCGCTTGTACAGAAAAGCGCTGTGCTTCCTTCTCGTAATCTTGCGCCTAAGCATTCAAACGCATTGTAGCCATCTGTCAGTTGGCAGGTTTGGACATTCTGCATTCTGAGTGAGAGCTTCATTCCGACTTACTCAGTGAAGGCATATTTTTGTCTTGAACTTACATAGTATGTCATATTATCCGTCTAGTCACTGAGTTGTGTGACGTTCTGACAACGCTTCAGGATAAGCAATGCAGGTTCCAGTCTAAGGATTCACCATAGTTTTTTCAAGATTTTACAAACGCATTGGTGACAAGTACTAACAAGCGAGAATCCCATGTCAGGCAGGGGTTCCTGATGGCTACCTTGAACTATTTAAGAAGAATGTTGTCTTTTGTTGATGGTGCTTGACTCTGGAATCCAAGATACTCATTTCGCCCTATCTGAGATGTAACTACATTTACATTGAGTGATGTTATTCTCGGTGATGCACAGACAGTGTACACACCGATCCAGCTGACAAGTGTTTATCCAGCAGTTCAAGTCGGTCGTGGTAGTCACCGCTGATTCAACAAGCAGCAATGACCAATTGCTTACAACTTAATTTTCATTTTCCGTTGATTATTTGGACCGAAATGCAGACATGTCGGCTTCTAGTATGGATGTTTTCACTCTGTCGAGAAAATGACAGGGCAATCTCTGATGTGTGCTTCTTCCTGTTTGGAACTTGTCACTCGGATGAGTCTGCATTCCCAGTGATTGTGTCTATTAAAGTCTAGCTGTGTGTTGCATATATTTATACATTTATATAATTCAACGTTGCAGAACAAGGAATACTTGTGAATTTCTATCAGACATTTTTTCTAGCCTTCTGATCTTCTGTATAACCTACATTGATATTTTATATTTATAGAAAACAGACTGGCTCAATTCAAAATGAGATTCAGTAAGCAAGTGACATTTCGTGTATTCATAATGAATCTGAGATTCTGATACTTATCTGTTCTCTCGGAAATCTACATGAATAATTCGCTGGCGTCTAACCCACTTACCTCATTTATAGCAGGCGAATAATCAGATGATAGGAATAGAGATTATTCACTAAAGAATCAACATGTAATGCGATTTACAATGGCAAGATCGACGAAGCCTCTGAAGTGGAGATGAATTATATTCCTAATTGAGTTGAACAGCGTCATGATCCTTTGCCAGGTCGTGGGCAGGGAGAAGACAGGAATACGTTCGATTAACACGTAGACTGTGGAAAATCTGGACCTTGCGGGTAATATATGTGTGATTTCAATCAATCGAGGTCTGCAGTTAGATACTATGAGGTTTGCAGAACACTTAGTGAGTGTAAGATTTCAGTTGAACATAGGGAAGACGGACGTCATGAAGATATAAATTCATCAACAACAACTTGTAATAGCTACCAACCGGTGACATTTCAGGAGGGACGTTTCTTTCTTGCATTTCGACTGCTCAGTTTCACCTACAAGCGGCAAACATGAGGATGTCAAATTTCGCATCAGAAAACCAAAACTGACTTTGGAAATCAGTTAAGAAATTCGATTTACTCAGTATAAGGAACAAGATACGG